TCCTGAATAATTCTGATCCAGCCAAGCCCTAACAGCTACTACATAATAAGGTGGTGCCCATCTTGTTGAAAATGTAATACATTTTCATTCAATGGTAGTTCATCATTCTTTCCTCTTTGATTTTCTAGTTCAATTATTATTAGTGTCTGTATTGTTTCATTTAACACTTCAAAATAAATTTGACCATTCAAATTTTGGTCAATAAATAAGGGACCAATTATACAATCTACCAAAATTCCTGCCCAGACATTATGTTCTTCAGGATAATGGGTATGGTTTCCTCTGATGAGATGAGGATTTTTATGGCTCCAATAACGAAAATTTTGTTTGTTAATATTTCCATTTAGATAAAAAGTACACTTATCGCTGAAGCAAATGTTTTATAGTATTTGGATCTAAACTGCGCACCACTCAATGTGTCGCGACCAAAAAGTTCGTTCTTTTTCAAAACGACATAACTTTTTTGATTCTTGAACTATTTTATTTTGGTCTGTGTTGTCTGCTAGCCTCATCCTTTGGCAATTCATGCTATAGATATGAAGCTCACGGATCTTTAAGTAAATTTCCTACAGGGTGATATGTTAAACGGTGAAAAATTTTAATAACTTTATCCAAGCCCCGTTTGTAACAAAAAAATTTTTTCTCGTTTTTACTTTAAAATAATATAATGAATATAATGAAGTATTATGTCTTACCTTGTAGTATATTTGAAATTTTTCGAATTGGAATCTTGGCAAACGAAAATATGATTTTTTTTCAAAAGAATACATTTAAGGCTTTTTTGTAGGCAATACACTCAGTCTTTTTAGGAACAAGAAGATATATCAGAATTATTTAAGGAACATTATTATATAATAATGTTCCTTAAAGAATTTTGAACAAGCGACAAGCAACAAACATTATTTTCAGAAGGCCTAAGCAAAGACCCTCGCAAAGACCACTTTTTCAAAATAACATTTTGGTGAAAATTTGAGAGAACTAAACCTCAATCGATATTTACGTTTTATTCATAATTTTGACCTCCTGATTGTGATTCAGTTATCAAATTTAAGTTTCAGATTAAACCAAAATCACCAAGAATCAAGATTCGAAAACAATTCCCGGCTGTTAAATGTCTCAATAAAATACGATTTCTGACAATGCCCGTATTGAGTGAATGGCCACCTTTGTCTCCGAATATGAATCCTATTGAGCATGTGTGGAGCAGGATGAAACAAGATGAAAGAGAGGGAAGGACGCATGGAAAATTTGGATAAATAGGTAAATGCTATACCCCATGCAGGAATTTATAAAGAACTTGGTCGAGGCCTAGTAGGGTTAACGAATTATTACGGGTTAGGGGAGGGCCAACGAAATATTGAAAGTTATTTTTGTTATTGCTTGTTACATTTTTTCGCATAAAATTTTCCAAAACGAACAAACATTTTTTTTATTTAACTTTATTGCCAATTAGGTAGGTACTTATCAGTGATAAGTTATCACTAGTGCGCAATGTAAATGTAACTTATGTAACATTATCCTAACCACTCAAACAAATTGCAGTAATTTCGCCCAAAAAATGAATCCCCAAATGGCATTTTAATCATAAATATGCAAGAAAAACGCCAGCAATCGGATTTATTAAGACATTTAAGAGCCATTTTCGAATTTTGATTCTTGGTGATTTTGGTTTTATCTGAAACTTAAATTTGACAACTGAATTACAATCATGAGGTCAAAATTATAAAGAAAACATGTCACGAACGTAAATATCGGTTCAGGTTTAGTTTTTGCAAATTTTCACCAACATGACATTTTGAAAAAGTGGTCAGATGTATTCAAGGAACAATCTTTTACCATTTATCTTCTTATTCTTAAAAAGACTGAGTGTATTGACTACCAAAAACCCTTTTAAGGGTACATTTAAAAATGTACTCTTTTAGAAAAAAAATCATATTTTCGTTGCTAAGATTCCAATTCGAAAAATTTGAAATCCTTTTCAAGGTAAGACATAATACTTCATTATTTCAAAGTAAAAACGAGAAAAATTTTTTATTTCAAACGGGACTTGGAAAAAGTTATTGAAATTTTTCACCGTTTTAAATATCACCCTGTAGGAAATTTTCTTGAAGAACCGCGACCTTCATATCTATAGCATGAATTGCCAGAGGATGGGGCTATTAGACATTACAGACCAAAATAAAAGATAAAAGATAAATAAAAGATAAAAGTTATGTCGTTTTTAAAAAGGACGAACTTTTTGATCGCGACACATTGAGTGGTGCAATACATTGAAGAAAATAAAGGTTTATTGATACATAGGATATCATAGTTACGGTACCAAAGGTAATAAAACCCTATATTTGCCTTTTTCCAGATTTTAAGAATTCTTTTTAATTTTATCATTATATTTTGTTCTTGTAAATGTTATAGTATTTAATATTAAGTGTCATTATTTTTACTTATTTTTGTATGACTAGTCATGAAAGCACTTTGTAATTTTGTTTTGCTGATGAATAAATTATTATTATTATTATTATTATTATTATTATTATTATTATTATTAATACTAATTTGATATTTATAACGGGAAATTGTAAAAAATAATTATAAAAATTAGTTTACTTTTATAGTTTTATAAAACCTCTATAAAACTGCTATAAACCTACTATAAACCTTTTATAAAACTTCCATAAACATTCTATAAAACTTTTATAAAACTTCTATAAAATCAAATATTTTACTTTTTATAAATTATTTATTTGAATATTAAATGATAAAATCAAATGTGTGTTAAATATGTAATAAAATCTTCATTTTCATTCAATATTGAATTGCCCGGATTCCTATTATTTCAGAAAATATCTTCAAATAATATTTTTATCTAAAATCCTAAAATGCAAATCCATATCCAATTATTTTACAATAAAAAAACCACTCGATTACCAGCTGCACAAGAACGAAAAAAACTGTATTCAAATACATTCGTATAAACCACTTAGTATTATATTGGGCCGAAAAATCCGTTGCGAAATGTTTAAAGGACGTCCCGCAGCTAGCCGCCACTTATACCTCCGCTACAAGTAGCCATTATTCTGTATCTATATTAAATTTGTGACAAATTTATTGTGATTTGCGGGAACCAACAATAGAAATTGGTATCTTGAAAAACCATCTATACATATTAAAGTCACTGGGGTAGGCGCAATTTAAATCTTTCACTGATTTTTCCAAATGATAAAGTTTGGAGGGAAATTTTAGTTTACCTAATAATGATGTCATTATAATGGTTTTGAGAAAATGCATTATGGCAATTTCTTTTTAATAGAAACTTATTAAGAAATTAAAATTTCCTTACATTTATTAAAATTGTCACATTACTGAAACACTAGGTATTAGTTAAGCTATGAAAAATATTTGCAAAACGCGTCAACAATTTTTACTTTAAGCTCTAAAGATGCCTAGATATAAAAACAAGCAGTAGACACATATAAGTAATAGTAAAATGGATAATAGTAAGTGTGGTAATAAAATGCAAGTCATTTAGGTACGTGCGTGGCAAACAAATAATACCCACAATTGTTAAAAGTGGTATACCGTGCCTGATAAGTTAATTGATAATAAAACAGATACAAGCTGTAAAATACAGTGCAGTAGCCGACAGAAGCAAATCTCCGAAATAAACAAAACAAAAAACTTTACTTAAATGTTAGGAATTTTAATTAAAATTTAAATTAAATAAAATCTATAAAAATACCTACCTAGGTATATCAAAAAAATTTTTAGTACATAAATCTACTTACCAAATAAAATATTTTTAGAAAAATCCTACCTTTTTTTCACAGAAATTTGAAAAACCGATTAATAAAAATTTTAATTATTTTAGAGGAGGGATTTATTTCCTTACATTCTAGGCGCCACTGTAGGTTTTAGCTAGCAGCAGTGACTCTATAATAAAATAAAATAGAGTATGCAAGTAATGTAATGTGCAAAGTAGGTACACCTGCTAAGTACTTCGTTTATAAGCAACAAACATATTTTCTAGCACCTGCAACTCAAATTAGAAATAAAACTATTATCTGTTTTTATCAATAGACAACCTACCTAGTCGTTAGCTTATAAAAAGTTATGTTCAATTCGCGTATTTTATATAGGTACCTACTTTTATTTACCACCCAAATTTTATTTATTTCTCTATTTTGTTGTAAAATAATTTGTTTTTTGAGTTTTGTATTCGGAGTCGCTGCGATAAAAACATTGTTGAAAAATCTTCATTGTAAAAAACATACCTACCTATAACCTGATTATAATAACAACCCCGTATAAAAATAAACTACCTATAGTGTAGCAATTTTTCATGAAAGCATATTTAAGTACACTTGCACTCAGAGGTCTTCTTTGAAACCCCTGAATAAGTTTCAACCCTCCTCCAACGACTAATAATTATTGTATCCAATTCATTAAGAAAAACGTTTGGTAATTGTAGCACAATACTCGACAATAAAATCATAACAGGCAATGAAATGATCAAAACAATGTAGCATCAGACGTGAAACAATATTCCCACGATTTTTAATGTCTTTTATTTATCGCGCATTTATCCTAAACAGTGGTTTAGTGTTACCCATTGTCTAGGACACTCGAAAAAACAAAAGTAAATCATTACTGTGTTGCTTCTATTATCCATATTAAGGGTTATTACTTCCCGGTCCTATGTCACGACTTTATAAGGGCGGTTTTTGAAAAGTTTGTTAAGAAGGGTGGAGGTTTTATTAAAACATATGCAAGTCTCCTACAGCGCAGAACGCTGCTGTCCAGAATGGAGCCGAGCGTTTTTTAGATGACCATGGGCGATCTTTCAATTGTTTCTCTGACGATACACGACACCGATAATATTTATTAGAGGGGTTGATTGTGGGAATAATTAAGAGCTATCAGTTTTAATTTGCATTGTCGGGTGAACTATTATGAATAAGTTATACCTAGACAAAAACTTTTAGAATCTTTAAAAAGCTACTTACCAGAAATTAATTACTCAATTGGTAAATAATTGTTATAATAAAATTCAATAATTCAATCAACTAAACAAAACATTTACACAAAACAGAAAGTGACACTTGACAACTGTCAAAAACTGAAAAACTAAACAAAGCGGGCTTTGCGGTCCAAAACAAAAATTCTCGAACTGTCATTTATACGTCAATAAAAATCGTTGGGTAACCGCGTTCTTGTTAACAAGTGTTTAATTATTTACTAAAATGCAATTGTAAATAATCATTTAAGAAAGGAAAGGGGTAAGTAAAATTACAGCTTTAATAACAATTTAAGAACTAAACACTTATTTTCGTATAGGACATAAAATGTTAAGGTGTACAAAAAAGCCTAATTAAATGCTTACACGTAATAAAAAGTAAATTTAATAGACGTTAAATAACTTCAAGTTTCAAGTCTTGCAAGGTTTAAACATTTACAATTAATTAAATTAATTAATTAATACATATTTATTATTCTCTAAATACCTATGTGAATTAAAAACGTTTATACTTATGCAACCCACAATACAAGAACAAAAGATTTTTTAATTTATCAGGTTTAAAATGTTTAAAATAAAAATCGTTGGGTAACCGCGGTCTTGTTAATAACTGTTTAATTATTATCTATAATGCGATTGTTGTAAACAGTAATTTAAGAAAGAAAAGAGGTGAGTTATTTTAATAACAATTTAAGAACTTTACATTTATTTCTGCATACCTAGGACTTAAAATGTTAATGGGTTCAAAAAAGCCGAATTAAATGCTACACGTAATAAAAAGTAAATGCAATGTTTAAACATTAAAATAATTAATTAATTAATTAAATTACATATTTATTATTCTCTAAATACCTACCTAGACCAGGGTCGATAATTTTTGAAACCAAAAAAAATTACAGTAGGATGAAACCCATTGGAAAAGGAGAAGAATATAATAAAAATGAAAGGAAAAATAAATTACGGGCGATCCGACTTCGGGAAGTGGGAGGGGGGGGGGTTTTAAGGGTAAAAAATTGTTTATCTCGATTTCCGGCAAAACTACAAGTCCTATAGAAAAAAGTTAAATGGCAAAGTTGTAGGTAATAAAAGGATCTACAACTTTTGTAATTACAATTTTTTTACATAACCTCAAAATTTATGTGAAAAATTCAAAAAACCAAGTTTTTGGTTTTTTATTTTTATCTTTTTCAAAAAAAAATTTTTTTCCACGAAATTTGGTGAAAACTTACCTTTTTATGTCCCAAATACACTGTAATTTATTTGATTTGAAATATTTATTATTTCGCCTTATTTTGACTTAATATCAAAAAAGCACCCTAATTTTCAATCGAAAATTCTCGCGTCAAAATATCAGCTTTTTTCAAAAAGTCGGTGTGCTTTTTGTTTGTTGAAATCTCTACTTTTTGATGGTGTAAAAAAAAATATACATTACTATGGTAAATGTTCTCAGAAAATGCAAAAAATATTATAATGGATAACGAAAAAAACTCGAATTCGAAAATTTATTTTAATCATTATGTACAATTTCATCAAAAAAATGTGATTGTTGCAGTTTTTTTTAGTTAAAAAGTTTATTTATTAAATTCTAATAACATTTATGTCAGAAAATCTCATAAAATATAAAAATACATGTAAATCATACTATTGAATTTAGATACTTCATTCTGATTACGTTATTCATTATAATATTTTTTGTATTTTCTGAGAACATTTACCATAGTAATGTATATTTTTTTTACACCATCAGAAAGTAGAGAGTTCATCGAACAAAAAGCACACCGACTTTTTGAAAAAAGCTGATATTTTGACGCGAGAATTTTCGATTGAAAATTAGGGTGCTTTTTTGATATTAAGTCAAAATAAGGCGAAATAATAAATATTTCAAATCAAATAAATTACAGTGTATTTGGGACATAAAAAGGTAAGTTTTCACCAAATTTCGTGGAATAATTTTTTTTTTTTGAAAAAGATAAAAATAAAAAACCAAAAACTTGGTTTTTTGAATTTTTCACATAAATTTTGAGGTTATGTGAAAAAATTGTAAATACAAAAGTTGTAGATCTTTTTATTACCTACAACTTTGACATTTAACTTTTTTCCATAGGACTTGTAGTTTTGCCGGAAATCGAGATAAACCATTTTTTACCCTTAAACCCCCCCCCTCCCACTTCCCGAACTCAGATCGCCCGTAATTTATTTTTCCTTTAATTTTTATTATATTCCCCTCCTTTTCCAATGGGTTTCATCCTACTGTTATTTTTTTTCTCTTTTTACCATTTTTAAAGGCTTCTACACTGGTCTAACCTACATATTATGTGAATTAAAAACGTTTGTACTTATGCAACCCATAATACAATATCAGGGGATCAGGTTTAAAATGTGTTTTGGTGTATTATTAGTTTTATGGCTATTTATTTATAGTTTAAAACTTACCTATATTTTGTTGGGTTAACAAACTATTATTATTTTTAATACTATAATTATTATTATTAACAAATGATTTAAAGTTTTAATTTTTTACACAAATTGTCAAAAAACATGTCAAGTTGTGAACCATAGAAATAGTATTATTTCTATGCTAGTACCTAATTTAAATTGTTTCAATTGGGGCGCTATAGCTATAAGTATACTTACAAAAATAACCAGTCCAAAAATGTTTTGTTTATTATATTTTATTTAAAAAAATCATACCTAAAAAAAATAAAGATGATTTTTCATAAAAATATCTATTTTCAATCTCATATAATATATTATATATACAGTATCTTGCTAAATTAAAGATTACTGCATCAAAATTTAAATAACAATTTGGACTATGGCTGTTATTGTAGAAGCGCCTCAATTACAACCGTTTGTTGGTGTGTAATATTTTAGATTGTTATAACTATAGTTAAAAAAAGGATGACAACTTCTTTAGACTTAATCAACTCAAAAACTATTCGATAAAAAGTTGTTTTGTTTTTCTATTAATATGTTACTGGTATTATCATTTGTAGGATGAAATACCTATGTCAACAAAAATACCACCAAAATCGCACTATTCCTTCTGCAACGTCAGTAGTAGTTTTGAATCACACAATTCAGATTGTGAAGCTCAACGAGATATGTTGTCGATCGGTAGTAAAAGCTATGCAACCCAGTTTACAAGCACCCCTACGAAACCAAATAAAGCAGGAGAACCGAGCACATCGCTTGATGAGTTTTTCCTAAGTTTAATCTCTGAAGAGTCGAAAGGTAATAAAAAATCCAAAACATCATCTTTTGCATCAAGAAATGAAACAAAAGAAAATCAAAATCCTAAATATGATGATGAGACGAGTACGTCAAGTTCTTTGTATGCAGACCTTATAACAGGAATTAGTTTAAAACCTTTTTCATCAAAAAGTAAAAAAATTCAAATAGAAAAAAATAAAAATTTAATATCCAAAACTAATAATTCATCTACATCAGAATCCGAATCAGAAGTGTACTTAAAAACAAAAACATCCTCTTTTTCATCAAGTAGTGAAATAATTAAAACAAAAAAATCAAAAAAGGCTACATCTAAAACAAATGATTTTAATTCTACAACAAGTTCAGGATCAGAAGTGTACTTAAAAACAAAAACATCCCCTTTTTCATCAAGTAGTGAAATAATTAAAACAAAAAAATCAAAAAAGGCTACATCTAAAACAAATGATTTTAATTCTACAACAAGTTCTTTGTCTGAAGGTCTACAATCATTTTTCGACATGCTTGATAGACCAGGTGATCAAAAATTGCATAAAACAGAATCAAATGATCAAAGTGACGTCAATTTAAAACCTGCTTCATCAAAAAGTAAAATAATTAAAATTAAAAAAAATAAAAATGTTATATCTAAAAATAATAATGAAACATCTACATCAGAATCGTTGTATACAGACCTTAAATCAGGAGTGGATTTAAGAACTAAAAAATCTTTTTTGTCAAGTTGTAAAATAATTAAAACTAAAAAATCAAAGAAGGTTATATCTAAAACAAATGATTATAAGTCTACAACAAGTTCTTTGTCTGAAGGTCTACAATCATTTTTCGACATGCTTGATAGACCAGGTGATAAAAAGTTACATGAAACAAAATCAAGTGATCAAAGTGACAATGCTTTAAAATTTTTGGATGGTAGTTTTGAACCTCCCAATAATAAAATTCCAAAGCTTAGTGATAAAGATGTTAATACATCCTTTATTGACCAATGTGTACAAAATAAAAAACGGAAAAAACAGTCAACTTTGGACTCGTTCTTTAGAAAAACGAAACCATCAACTGAAAGAAGAAAGTTTATTACACAAGTCTATCAAAAAACTTTCGGCAATTCAAATACAAAAGGTAATAATAATAATGAAATGGGAAATATTTGTATTAAAAATGATAATATAATAGTTAAGGAACCACCTCAAATTGAACCAGTTGTAACCAAAGAATGTAATCAAATAGTTTATCCAGCTGAACAGTCTTTCACTTTAACTAAAAGAATACATTTAAACACGCAAGCCAATCCAAGAACATACTGCACTACAAATATAGAAAAAAATAAAAATAATAAAGAAATATCAAATATGCTTACTAAAGAATGTAATCAAATAGTTTATCCAGGTGAAAAATCGTTTACTTTAACTTCCAGTAAAGTAACAAATATTGATTATGTGCCTGAATATAATAATAATGATAAATATCGTGTAATAAATTCAGATAATTTGCTTCAATTTACTGAGTCCTTACGAAAAGATAAACCAAATAAAGACAATAAGGTTTATAGTAATAAAAGTGAAGAAAAAACACTTACAAATAGTGATAATAAAATAATAGTTAGTAGCGAAAAACAATCAGAGCTTTTTCTTCAAAGTTTACTAAGCTCCAAAAAAGTAGACGTGCATGAAGCCTTGCTAAAATATTTTAACATACAAGAAAACACCGGGTTTGATTATTTGAGGACTGCCATGGAAGAAACAAGTTTTAGATTCATGTCCGATAAAATGTTACACAAGGAATCAAAAGGAATGCAAGTATCAACTAAAAAAAGATTCTTTAAAAGATACGTTAAAGGAAACACAAAATTATACCTCTTGAATGTGGTTAAAAAGAAAACAATAATTGACGAACCCAAAGTACAGGATAAGGACGACCTCGACGATTTTTTTTACCAATTTACGCAAGAAGAAGTCGGCCTACTAGATAGAACCTACAAATCGTTTTCATCGGACGTCTCGTTTGTCACGCACAAATCTGGTGAATCTGGTAGCCTCTCCAGTGGTTCACAGGTCCTGACTCGTCATCAGATGACATTAAGAAGCGGTATAAACGACGTTTTGAAAAATAAGGATTTTTTATATAATTCTGAGGACGAGCAAATTTTTGAAGAGATTGGGAGGAAGGAAATAGTGGAGAAGATTGAGAATATATTTTTGGAAGTTTTGGATAATTTTGAAAATAATAGGAAACCAACTTTCAGATATCGAAGACAATGTTGGGAGAATTGTGTTTTTAAGAATGGAAGGTGAAATTTAGATATTTGTCATTATAAATATAAATTTTAAGTTGTTTTTAGGTGTCAGTTCAAAAAAAATTCTGCCATGCAGATAATTTATTACAATAGAAAAGCGAGCTGCAAAAGGTTTTGCTTGATGTTTTATCTACTTGACCAGATAAGAAAATTGTTATTAAGTGATACTACATTAACTAAAAGGTAAACAATTGAGACACTCCGGCAATCTAGCTGGTCAATTAATTATTTTTTTGTATTTTAGAGAAATTTATTACCAAATTAAAAAATACGTTCAAAATCAAGGCATAACAGATTCCTGCATCATGGCGGTTAGTTGTTTATTAAATGTGGGCCCATGGGATTTAAACATTGTAGCACAAAAGGGTCTTGTGTTTGGAAACTTAAAACTGAAACTAACTTCGGGAGAAGTTATAAACTGTAATGTACCGGGTATATTTTAATAAAAAACTCGTACAGAAAAAATTACATTTTTAATATTACAGGTACCACAATTCCTTTGAACGTCAAGGATATAACGAAAATCGAAACATCATGTTATTTTATATTAGTAGTTGAAAAAGAGTCTATTTTTCATAAATTAATACAAGAAGACTTGCCGAACTCATTGACCAGACCTTTTATTATGATAACTGTAAGAATTTCGTCGATCTTACTTGAAGTTGCTACGTTTAGCCGCTAGAGGGTCATTATGCATAAAAAGCCCTCTAAGGGCTAAATATTCCAACTTTGGATTTGGGCATATTTTGAGCCAAGAATTCGTATAATTTTAAAACTTTTGTAGGGTAAAGGTTTCCCAGACCACAACACGCTACTTTTTGTTAAAAAATTATGGGTTGTTCTGTCCGTTCCAGTGTTTATTTTGGTAGATCCCGATCCGCAAGGTATCCAAATAATGCTGAACTATCGGGTAGGATCTTTAGTAAGTTAAAATAAATTTGTATATTAAAATTTAAAATAATATTTAAATATCTTAGACAAGTGCACATTTGTCTCATCAATTGGCAATACCAAAAGCCCAATGGTTGGGCGTATTTCCAACGGAAATAGTAAAATACAGCTTGCGAGCGCAGGAGTTAACCAATAAAGATATAAAAACAGTCAAAGATATGCTTTTGTTGCCCCATATAAGGGAAAACGAAAAAATCAAACATGAATTACAATTTTTACTTGACAGAAAATATAAGTCCGAAATAGAAGCTCTTACCAAAAGTGAAACTTATATGAGTCGTATTTATTTTACCGAAAAAATGATTAGGAAGAATTTTATTTAAATGTTTTTATACTGTTTTAATTCATAAAATAAAATTTTTAAGTAATAGTTATTGTTTAATTAAAATATTATCTAGTGATGGTATTTCATAAATAGTTTGACATTTCGATGACAATTATTCTCGATTTTTTGTGTAAATTGTTAATTTTTTTAATACAATTATTTGTTTATAATTTACGATGAATAAACTAGTAAGTATTATTAATCCAAAAAAGTGTAATTTTCTAATCATGATTAATTTAGTCATCAAGGAAAAATACCCGTGAGGAAACTTCAACCGACAAAAACAAGAAACACCAAGTTAAAATCCCTGTTCCTAGCTCGAAAAAAATCAAAGAATCCAAAAAGACAAACCAAAAACTGAAAAAGAGCCTCCACCATTTAACGGAAAAAGAATCCAGTCAAGAAAGCATTTCAGAAGATCAACCCAAAAAAACGTCATCCGAAGAATCAGTTATTTTTATGGGAATCACCTACAATACTTCAGTGATAGATTTAACCAGTGATGAACCTTATTCTAGCAGAAGACCGAACCGAAAGAAGCCTCAGTTAAAAGAAACTACACCTCCAGTAGAAATGAAAAGATCTTCTATAACTCTTCCGGTACAAGAACAAAATAAAACACTGGAGCACACACCAAGTGGAACTGAAATAGTGAAAACATGTACGACTAAAGAAATGGTTCTTCAGAAGCTCAGTTGCTTAGAAATCCCAAAGGAATTTGTGGATGATACAATTTTTGAAAATTTTGAAGAAAGTACAAAAAAGGTCACTTTAAATCAAGAGGATATGGATATGGTCGAATATATCTCTGATTAAAATGCAATTCATGTAAATATCTAAATATAAAGTGTAACCTAATTTTATTTTTTTTTGACTTTTTTTGAGGTACCAGAGTTTGTCTAAATAAAAGAGTATCAAGTACAACTACAACAGAGTTTATACTTTTCCATTAAGATTTATCAAAATATCAAAAAATGATACAATGAGGTACCAGAGTTGGTCTCAGTAAAAGAAACGTAGTACCAAGCACAATCCACACAACAAGGTCTGTTCTATCTCGTACTAAAAATACAAAAAATCACTGCAACACTACACAGTTTAACGGCGGCCATTTTTGTTTACAATTTTTGTGCTTTGGGTTTGTGCTCTGTTTATACAGATTAATAATCGTTTTAAACGTTGTGTTTCTCATAGTAAGCCTTAAAAGAGTCCTTAAAGTGCTAAGAACAACCATTTTACTCCTCTTGTAAAAAATAAACTTTATTCTATCAGGGCTGTCATAAAACTGTCAAATGTTAATTTTAAGGTTAAATTATAACCCACAAATTAACCTTCAAATTGTCATTTGACAGCCCTGATAGAATAAGGTATATTTATTATAAAAGAGGGGTAAACTGGTTGTCCTTAGCACTTAAAGGCCTTATTTGAGGCTTACAAGTGCCTCTGTAAGAAACACAACGTTTAAAACAATTATTAAACAGCACAAACCCAAAGCACAAAAATTGTAAACAACAAAAATGGCCGCCGTTAAACTGTGCAGTGTTGCAATGATTTTTTGTATTTTTAGTACGAGAAAGAACAGACCTTCTTGTGTGGATTGTGGTACCAAGTACAAATATAACAAAGTACCTAATGTACAGTTTTATCAAAATATCAATAAATTATACAATGAGGTACCAGAGTTGGTCTGAGTAAAAGAAAGGTAGTACCAAGAACAAATACAACAATGCAAGGCCCTAGTCAAGGTGGGATGAGGGGGTTTAATACCCCTCCGAAATTTTAGAAAATTAATTTTAAGAACTTATAAATTCTTACAATTTCTAAAGTATTTATAGGTACTTTAGAAATTGTATGGGCCAAGATACTAAGGTTATTAATATACTTGCAGCAAAGAAAGCCAGAATCAGGGCCGGCGACAATAGCGGTGCTCGCGGGCTCAAGCACCACACGTAAAGGAAAATGGTGGTGCTCAGCACCACACGTATCTTCAGCAGAAAAATTGCATTTCTTTTGCGGTCTCTAAATTTTTTATCCTGCTAGCCTGGGATACACACCAAAGCCCTCTACAAATTTACGGTTGAAGCTGAGGAATCCAAAGTATCAAAGTCGGTCGGTATAGTATGTATAAGCAGTGGCGGCTGGTTCTAAAGGGCACAAGGGCACGTGCCCACCCAACCGCCCAGATAAAAAGTAATAAAAGTTATTTGTTGCATTGTGCAGTATTTTAGTTTTACGTAACACCATTGTAATTACTATTTAAGGATGGTCTCACACCTTCCTTTCGTCAGCTCAAACGGTTGGATTTAAACCTTCTTTACGCAACGCTGCAGCGAGCAAAACGCTGTGCCGGCCAGATTGCGAATCTGGCAACACTGCGCCGGGGCACAATTTTAAATGTTCCCATTCCAAGCATTATTCGGTGATCTTCGGTTATCCTCGCACTACGCGAATATATCGTCAATTTGGGGCACCGAGGCTCGGTGCCCGAGCGCCTCGTCTCTTGTAGCCAGTTTGCAGAGAGTTTTTGTCGGTTGGTTTGATTTATAACTTTTTTGTCGCCGCGCGCTGTTGTGTTTTTTTGAGTTGTGAATTACGTGTTTTGTTTTTTAAATAAACTTTATTTTTTATTAACAATAATGGAACCAGCGGAAGTAAATTGTGTGCAGAAATCTTTTAAAAAGTCCGATGTCACATGAAGATAAACTTTTAAGGAAAAAGGAAGACCTATTTCCGATCTTCGAATAAACTACACTTCCACAGGTAAAGGCCGATCTTACAATAGAGTATTCAACAGAAATATACATATGTATGTATATTAGACTGGTTCAAAAAAATCGAATATTTTTTTTTTCTTCAAAGCCCGCATTAAAATATCTTCCTAGTAGTAAAAAAAGAAGCCTGTGAAAATTGTAGCTCTTAATATAAATATTTAGAGGTCGCTCATCGTGAATTTCTATTTTACGTTTAAATAACACAGGAATTCTTTTTTCTTAACTTTGAAATTTTATAACTCGTTTTTGAGTAAACATATTGGAATGAACTCTATATATTTTTGAATAAAATTGAACGTTCTACAAAAAATGTCTCCTATAATTTTTTCGTAAATTCACTCCTTTAATAGTTATTCAAGGTTGAAATTAGACATATATGTAACGTTTAAATAACACAGGAATTTTTTTTAACTTTTAATTTTATAACTTTTTTTGAGTGGACATATTGAAATGAGCGATAATTTTTTTTAAGAAACATAATTTATATAAAATTTTTAAAAAAGATTACACAGGGCGGTCCAGTTTGTGATACATTAATTTTAAGGTAGACTTTCATTAATTAACATTTCTCAAAAATGTTTCCTAAGAAAAATACAGGCCGTCAAAGATTACAAAAAAACTAGTTTTCTCGTTATAACTTTTAAACTACAACATTAATTTTCATCAGATTTGGCACAAAATGTAATATAGTCAGTGCCTTAATAATAAAAGGGGAGAAGTACCCCCTTTCACCTCAGTCTTTGACGCCACTAAAAATTTTAAAAATTTAAATAAATTTGTAGGTCAAGTTTTTAATTTGGAGAAAAAATTTACTCTTGTAAAATTTTGATTTGGGTCTTTGTTTCTGAAATATTTGCTTCAAAATTTTTCCTCGCAGAGACGCTTTCCGTCAAACTTTACAAAAAAAACTCGTTTCCCCATCATAACTTCTAAACCACTTAATCAATTTTTATCAAATTTTGTACACAATATAGTCAATGTCTTAGTAATGATGTGGATAATTATTTAAAGAAAACATCAGTGGCGCAGTTACTTGGGGGGCTGCTCCGCTTTTCACCTTAGGCGCCACTGGAATTTTTTTTAATAATAAACACATTTTTAGATTATCTGTTTAAATTAGAGAAAAAAACTACTCATGTAAAATTTTGATTTAGTGCTTCATTTTTTAAATAATTAATTTATTTATTCAAGAATACTTTTGCGGCAGTTTTTTTGGAGTGTGTTCCCCCAAATATTTCAAAAACGAAGCCCTAAATTAAAATTTTAGCACAGGAGTTTTTTTATCTTTAAATTGAACAGACAATCTAAAAATGTAATTTTGCGAGGAAACATTTTTGAGCAAATATTTTAGAAACGAAGCCCCAAATCAAAATTTTACAAGAGCAAATTTTTTCCCTTAATTAAAAACTTGACCTAAACATTTATTTATTATTTTAAAATTTCCAGTGGCGTCAAAGACTGAGGTGAAAAAGGGAGCAGCCCCCCAAGTAACTGCGGCACTGGTGTTTTTTATAATAATTATCTACATCATTATTAAGGCACTGACTATATTACATTGTGTGCCAAATTAATTTTGTGGTTTAAAAGTTATGAAGAGAAAACTATTTTTTTTTTGGAAACTTTGACAGCCTGTATTTCTCTTAGGAAACATTTTTAAGAAATAATTTTTTATGAAAGTCTACCTTATTTTTGATGCTTTATCACCTATTAAAATTAATGTATTACTAACTGGACCATCCTGTACAATAATGAGTGATAAGGTTTATTATTATGCCACCAATCGAAAAAAAAACGTTAAATTTATTATTTGTCTAATTTCAACCTTGAATAACTATAAAATAAGTGAATTTATAAAAAATATATAAAAAACATTTTTTGTAGAGCGTTCAATTTTCTTTAAAAATATGTGTCGCTTATTCCAATATGTTCACTCAAAAACGAGTTATAAAATTTCAAAGTTAAGAAAAAAGAATTCCTGTGTTATTTAAACGTAAAATAGAAATTCACGGTGAGCGACCTCTAAATATTAATATTAAGAGCTACAATTTTCACAGGCTTCTTTTTTCACTACTAGGAAGATATTTCAATGCGGGCTTTGAAGAAAAAAATATATTCGATTTTTTTGAACCAGTCTAATGTATATGATAAATACGAGTGGATATGCGGTTGTTCAGTAACAAATAAGCTTTTTTGTTTTATGTGCTTAATTTTCAAAAAAGAGATTAGTGCGTGGACTCAACATGGGTTAGATGATTTAAAACACAAAAATTAGTTTTTTGTGCCCACCCTCTTTCAAAACCTACGAGCCGCCACTGTGTATAAGTGTATGTATCTTGGTAGTAGGAATAACATACACAACACGTCACGAAATGTATTTAGGGTATTTCTACTATACCGATAAATTTAATCATTCCGGGGATATATAAACTTTCTCTGTATATAAAATGTGACTGAGTTTGATAAAAAACTAAAAAACTATTCCAATTTAATTTTGTTCTCCTTTCCGCAACCCCCAAGGAAAGAAATACCCACACCCCCCATCCATTAACCACTGCTACCAACCAACTGTAGATGAGCACCACACGTCAAAATGAAAAGATGCCGGCCCTGGCCAGAATACTAAATTTGGTCCTGTATATACAGGATGGTCCAAAAACTATAAAATAATATTAATTTTCTTACTCATATCGAAAACAACAGTTTTAGAAATACAAGGTGTTAAAGTTGCATACATGTATTTTTACTCCAATAATTAAGTATACTATAGATAATTAAATAATTTTTAAAAATAAATAAACAAAATCTGACATTTGTCAAATGGTTAACCTTACTTTTTACCAATTTTAAATGTTATTATAGTCGCCTTCTCCAATTTAATACCAGATTGGTTCAAATTACAGTGAATATATTCAATATATTGAAATCGGCCAATCACTGATGCCGAACAACGTGAATATATTCATTATAATGAGTTTATTATTCCCAGAGACAAAAGACAAGGGATTATTCCCGTTGCTATCCTATGCAGAGAATTTATAATATTTTATTATTTACGAAAAATAACAATATTATGAAATAGGAATAGATAATAGTATATAATCTAGTAGGCGGAGAAAGCCCTTATTTAAGTTTAAAGTTAACTTGCTACATTTTGTCATAGGTTTGACATATGTTATATTATAGGTTATGTGTATGAATTTATTCTACAGCAACCAGCTAAATGCGATAGATAAAACCACTCTTTAAATGTTCATTTGTACGACAGTGTTTAATAATTTGACTTTTGACCCAGTAAGCACAAGCTAGCCGGCCCGCATACGGCCCGAATACATTTGGCCGCGTGCGGCCTAACACGTATTTCTTCTGGCGTGTATAACGGGAATGTCCGCCTGGCCAACTCGCGACCTGAGAATTAGATTGTTCTATCTCCCAAAATTTAAAGAGGAACAAATAGCAGTTTAAAGTTTAATTTATATGCAAATGAAATTTTAAAAAGCTGTTTTTCCGTGTTTAGGTTTTGGGAGATTTTTTCTTTCAAAAATCAGACACGGAAAAACAGCTTTTTAAAATTTCATTTGCATATAAATTAAACTTTAAACTGCTATTTGTTCCTCTTTAAATTTTGGGAGATAGAACAATCTAATTCTCAGGTCGCGAACTGTCGGGCTTAAGTTCAGTCCTGAAATTCTCTGAATGGCAAGATACTTCTTTACAAACTCTACTATAGTCTAGCTATAGCTAGACATTATTATTATTATTATTATTATTCGTTACTGAGCAGATGAGTATGGAGATGGGACTCCAAACAATTAATGTTCAGCTATGCCATTACGGACGCACACTTCCAACTAAATATTGCAACCAATCGCTATTTATAGTTAGCTTGCGTGCGTAAGCAACCGTGACATGTATCGCTTATGCCGCGGCAGGCCCTATTCCAGCCGTAAGCGGGCCGGCTAGGGCAAGCCGAAGGATTTTGCAGCGGCATGCCGTATTCTGGCCTACTTCGGTTAGAACATGGCTAAACGGTACCGGGGTAACATAACGCGGGCCGGCTGGGGCAAGCCGAACCGCCGGTCAACCGCCTAGGACGAGCGAAGGCCGACTGTTTGCCGAGTATTTGGTGCTTACTGGGCATTTACATAAAAAAACAGGAAAAGTTTCCTTTAAAAAAACAAAATGAAAATAAATTCCCGACTCGAACTTTAATTTGTAATTTTAGTTAAATGTTTTTTTACTACCTTGGCGCCTCTGAATTTGCTGTCATGGCCTATACCTACTGTTATTTATTTATAAAACACTTCAAATGGAAATTTCCATTCTATTAATTAAATAAATAAAATAAATTAATTTTTATTGCTTATAAAATTTAATATACCTACGTTAAGTTGCATTAAAACCAAAATACACTTAAAGCCGGGTCTACAATTGTCGCAGGAACATAAGCTTGCGCAAAGCACACAGCTGACAAAAGAACCTTGCTCCATCGACGCGTCGCGAGGTGCTTTGCGCAAGCTTATGTTCTGCGATCGGACCCCTGCGACAATTGTAGACCCGGCTTAAAAGTTAAAATCTAAACAAAAAATTTTTTAATGTTGGATGACTGTAAAGCTAACATTCTAACCAATTGTCGCATACATATATGTAGGCTGATTTTTCGGAATTTAGCCGCTGCGTATTTAATACGGCCTGCTTAATGCTTTAGGTCAACTCTTTTGATAATAAGAGAGTCCACAAAGAACACCTGTTCTTCAGTGGCGGCTGGTGGATTTTGGGTATACCAAAATTTCACTTATTAGACATGGAACCCACACCAAATTTATAATAGTTTATAATGACATTAAGTTTGCAAAAAAAGTTAATTTTTCCTGTCGCCTCACCCGCCTCCAGGCCCCCCTATTTAAGATAATTCAAATTAAAGTGGTGCAATTTATAATCTACTATAATTAATCGACAAATTTAAAATTTTATTTAAAAAATCCAAATATTACAGGTTTTATACCATTTTAAATATTTTTTTATTTTAATAAAATAAATAATAAAAATTTAAAAACGAATAAAATCTGTAATATTTGGATTTTTTAAATAAAATTTTAAATTTGTCGATAAATTATAGCAGATAATAAATTGCACCACTTTAATTTGAATTATTTCAAATAGGGGGGCCTGGAGGCGGGTGAGGCGATAGGAAAAACTAACTTTTTTTCGCAAACTTCAATTAAAATTCTGTTTGCGCCGAACTTGTTTATTTAATGTCATTATAAACAATTATAAATTTGGTGTGGGTCCCATGTCTAATAACTAAGATATTGGTATACATAAAATCCACCAGCCGCCACTGCTGTTCTTTAAGAGGCCAATTCGATCATGACTGGTTTGAACTTCAAACTTGGATGTCGAGGTATTCGTACGTTATGTAGTGAATCATGGTGGGGGTTCAAAATTTTGATATGTCCAAGACATCGTTTAAGATAGAAGGTTTGATGTGGCAAAGTTTGTACTCTACAAGGGCCAAATCCAGTATGTAGTTTCTTAGGGTGTGTTGAATAGCAGAAACTTTGCCTATTTTGATGTACCTCCTCAAAAAGTGAATGGGCAAGGGGCGCCCCAAGTTGAACTCCAACTTTTTCAATGTCTCCAATTTCTGGGAAGTACATTCCTTCGTATTTCGAGGCTATGAAAACACCGGCAATGCCGACCAATTGCAGAGTGTCTCTGCCGATGTTTGTGGTCATTTGTAGGTATCTGTCAACAATTAATTAGAATGATTTTAACTTTGTTTATTGTTTTTATTTTGTTTACCTTTTATAAGGCTTTTATGCAAACGATTTATGAATTGTGATGATGAGTTCTTCAAGAAACTTCTTCTTTAAAACAAAAAACTTTTTATTCAGTTTCTTGACCTGGACTTCGCAAATCAGCTGTTAAACAATTGACATTTACATAAAAAAACCGGAAAGTTTCCGGGAACTTCAAAAGAAACTTTTAAAATTAAAATAATTTCCCGACTGGAAACTTTCCTTAAAATGGAAACTTTTCGATTCCCATCTCGATTTCTTTGTAATTTAGGTATTAATTTGTTAACCCTTTCAATACGACTTTTCGGAAATTAATTTAAAACTTTTTTTTTACTGTTAAAACTATATTTGTGTTAAAAATAGTTAATTGACTGAATGACAAATTTTTAACTTTGGTGGTATTTGAAAAAAAAAGGCCTGGGACAGATTTATCCCTGCAGTAATATGCCCTGGGATATATTTATCCCCACACTAAAGAAATTCTACTATTTTTGAAAATGTTTATTATCAAAAAACACTGATGGGATAAAACTATCCCCTGTCATATTACTGCAGGGATATTTTTGTCCCAATGTATATTTTGAGGAATGAGTAGTGAAGTACAATGCACATAGAGTATCACAAAAATTTAAGCAAAATTTACACAAAAACTGCACAAAATAGGTTATGTGACTGGTATTTTTCAATTTTAAGCGTGCAATGGCCGAAAATCTGCTGGTTATTGTTCACGTGGCGTTAAATAAATTAAGTTTTTATTACTGATATCCCAAGTCAAGACATAGAAAAACTAAATTGTCCCAACCCTGTTTTATTTAAAGGAACTTAATTAAGTAGAGAAATTTTTAAATTTTCTTTGGGACATATATATCCCCGCAGTATTGAAAGGGTTAACTAAAATACGTTTAGTGCCATGGCACCTCTGAATTTGCTGTCACTATTATATATTTAATAAATAAATAAATAAATATTATTTATCACTCTTTAAATGGAATTACCTACTACCCTAGTATTAAAAAATCATACAAGAACAAAATTATTAAAATAAATTCATTTTTATTGGTTATAAAATTTAATATGCGTTATAAGTTGCATTAAAACCAAAATACACTTAAAAGTTAAAATCTATACACAAAATATTAAAACTAAAAAATATTAAAACTAAAAAATATACGTAAATTATTTTTTAATTTTGGATGACTGTAAAGCCAGCATTCTAACCAATTGTCCATTTAAATTGGGATGTAGGCTGATTTTTCGGAATTTAGCCGCTGCGTATTTAGTACGGGCTGCTTGATGCTTGAGGTCAACACTTTTTATAATAAGAGAGGCCAATTCGATCATGACTGGTTTGAAGTCGAGGTATTCGTATGTTGTGTAGTGAATCATGGTGGGGGTCCAAACTTTCGATATGTCCAAGACATCGTTTAAAATCGCGACTGATAAGCAGCAGGCCGCCGCGGCTAAGATCGAGGGTTTGATGTGGCAAAGTTTGTACTCTACAAGGGCCAAATCCAGTAAGTATTTGCCTAGGATGTGTTGAATAGCAGAAACTTTGCCTATTTTGCTGTACCTCCTCAAAAAGTGGATGGGCAAGGGGCGGCCCAAGTTGAATTCCAATTTTTTCAGTATGTGGATTTCCAGTCTGATGATTTGTTTTTTGGAGAAAGCGTCGTCGCATAAGTAGACAAAGTCTCCGATTTCTGGGAAGTACATTTCTTCGTATTTGGAGGCTATGAACACAGCGGCAATGCCGACCAATTGCAGAGTATCTCTGCCGATGTTTGTGGTCATTTGCAGGTATCTGTCAACAATTCCGACGCTAAGGTGAAGAGTCTCCACGCAGAGCTTAAAGTTTTGGTGAACTTCCACGAGCCAATTGATGAGTATTGCACGCATTTTAGGAGTAGAGCTGTGTTTCTCCAAGTAGTTTTCTTTAATGGAAAATTTTGTCTCCATTTCCCTTAAATAGCCGAAGATATCCTCCAAATACTCGGTAACCATTTGAGGTTGGTCTTTGGTCTCTTCATCTGGGTCTTCTATGGTACAATATTTAAAGGAGGAGAAGGAATTGAGTTTTGCTTGAACTTTTGCTGACACGATTTTTTTAACCAAACTCTCTTCTCTTTTCAGTTTTTGATTGCTTGATTTGTCTTCAGTTTTTGTGGTCGTGCTTTTTTCGGTTTTAGAATAAGATTTGATAGTATTTTCTTGTTGCTTTTGAAGTGCAGGCGGGCCCATAAGAGTCTTTTTCTGTATGTTGTCATGGTTAACATGCAGGACCTTGTTTCCTAGCTCTCCCAAAGCCGGTCGGTTAGCCAAAGATTTTGGCAAGTCACTTGTCTTGACTGGTCGGGCGGTGATGTTTTCTCTATCAATACTTTGGGTCGACATCTGAAAAAAAAGTTAATTGGAAAAAATACTTTTTCAGATTAAACTAAACAGCAAAAAAAAAATAATAAAACAAGAAAAAATTTACCAACACGAAAAACCACAAAGAACTAAAATTTAGTTTAGGTTACACATTTTATCTGTATTAAATTGCTCTAATGGTAAATTAAAATGCACTACTATGTGATAAAAAAATGTAATGGAGTATTCCTAGGTGTCCAAATCATTCTAAAGAACTATCTGTTGGTGGGTGGTAGCACAGTCTACAAAAAACATTTTGCCAGAAAATGGTTTTAAGTGACAGATTTTAGGTATTTTCCTTAGCAGTAACTGTTGACGAGAATTTTGCCGTTTGGTCAGCCAGCGAGCACCTAATGCAATTTCCGAGAGCACGTTTTAAAAATCTGATGTTTGTTTTTAAATAAATATAAATGTAAGGTGTCTACTTTTTGTTTTGCTATTTTATTCCCTCTAAAAGATATTAATATCTAATATCGAAAAAAATATTTTTTTAAATATTGTTTAAAAATCTTAAGATAAAAAATACAGGAGATCAAGTGTTTAAATAGAATTTGGAAAAACGCAACGCAAAGTTGTTAAAAATATTTTCTTCAAGAATGGCACAATAACGGTATGCCATGCTGTAGGAGGGGTTATTTTAAGAATATAAACATTTACCCAATGAGTTTTTAACATGAATTTTATTTTCATTATTTTATTTCTTGTAAGAATATTTACTTGTGTAAAAGGATTGAACACAACTCTTGACGTTTGACGTTGACGTTTCAAAAATAAAAAGTTAAAAATTTGTTAACAATATGATGATGATTTATGTTTAAATTTTTTGACATAAACTGTCATAAAATACATTTTTTGACCATGTTTACTTCAGCTAGCTGCTAGATGCCTTCTTTATTTTTTTTTTAAGTTATGGACCTTTTTATAAAATAATAAACAGTAAACTTTTTCGCCTTTTTATAAAAACATACCTATGCTTAAAATAACCACCTCTATTTTCGGTAGGTATACTGAAAAACACAAAAAAATATATAGGTATATATTTTAAATGTAGGTATACGGTATAAGGTATCTAATATTGATTTTTGATATTTTTATTCTACATACTTTTTATGTACCTACATTTGATTATTTTTTTATGAAGCCTTCATAAAATTTTTATGTTTTCTTAATTTCTGACCACCTTGAACACTTATATAATTCAATTTTCAATCGCATTTTTTAAACAAAGATAGTCTTTATTAAGAATAATTTTATTTTGTAAAACGCATTATTAGTTGTTTTTTTTCTATTGGCAACCCTCTGCACTATACCTGGGTCAGAATTTCTCAAACGGGCCACCTGAATTAGGTCAAAATTAGTTTTTGATTGTAGATACATTTTTTCGATAGTATTTTACATCACTAAAACAAATCCTAAAGGATTTTGAAAAAAAAAAAATTTCAATTGACATATTCATGATATTAAAAGTAAAAGTTTTTAGTAATTAAAAAATAAAAAAAATCATTATGGCTAAACTAATTATCCGATTCTAACGATATAACTAGCGTTGGAATCTTGTTTTGACATAGATTCTTTGTTATTTTTTTCAATTGTACAATTTTCATTTAGGTCGATTTTTTTTTGTTTTTTTTATAACAAATTCGGAAATAATTGGCTTCTGCGCCAGCTATCGACTCGAAAAAAAAAACACATATACTCCAATCATTTTTCGAAATTATGCTACTGAGAAAAAAAATGGCCCGCAGACCAGACCACCGTAAGACGTCGCGTCACAAGCGCGTACAGCATACACGGTTCGGAGCGTGAGCTGACACCGCGCGCGGCCACAAAAGGACGAATAACTTTTTGTCAACCTGCGGGCCATTTTTTTTTCAGCAGCATAATTTCTAGAAATGATTGGAGTATATGTGTTTTTTTTTTCGAGTCGATAGCTGGCGCAGAAGCCAATTATTTCCGAATTTGGTATAAAAAAAACAAAAAAAAATCGACCTAAATGAAAATTGGACAATTGAAAAAATAACAAAGAATCTATGTCAAAACAAGATTCCAACGCTAGTTATATCGTTGGAATCGGATAATTAGTTTAGCCATAATGATTTTTTTTATTTTTTAATTATTAAAAACTTTGACTTTTAATATCATGAATATGTCAATTGAATAGTATATTAAAGTACAAGTTGCAGAAGGCCACATATTCTCGCACGAATTCGAAATTTGGCCTCGAGCGACGAAGGAGCGAGTGGACGAACGAATGAGTGCGAGAATAGCCTTCTGCAACGTGTGATTTATACTATTTTCTCGATTTTAACTTTTATTTAGGTTTTTTTAATTGTTTTGTGGTCGTTGTTAGTTAGGGGATTTTTCTCGCAAAATGTCAGTTGGCAACACAAAATGACAATATTTGTTATCCTGCACAAGTTCAACCTGAACTGCACTTTTACACATTAAACTTAAAATTTTGCATTAAAATGCATTGTTGGAGCAAACTTTATATTACAAAACAATAATAAAGGCTTCATTTTCAATAAAAGTAATGAATTTGAGGTTATTAATCAGTTTGACATTTTGGGGGTACCAATACTTAAAAACTAAATGTTACCAAAAATCGTTTAAGAATGAGCTTCATTCTTCAACGATTTTGCGTGCGAGAATATGACATTCTTACATAAAAATCGAGAAAATTATTTTTTTACAAAATCCTTTAGGATTTGTGTTAGTGATGTAAAATACTATCGAAAAAATGTATCTACAAACAAAAACTAATTTTGACCTAATTCAGGTGGCCCGTTTGAGAAATTCTGACCCACCTATTTTAAAAACTAAAGGACGGTGCAATAAATAGATTAAGGACTACTTATGAATTATATAACTTAAAAAAAACGCAACACCCTTACCACACTATTATTTATATGGCTTTATAGGAAAAACAATAAAATAAATTTAATGATTTACAGCATTTAGATATATTGCAAGGAAAAGTCTTCGATTTCATATTAGCATAAGCATTAATTAGGAACACCCTGTATAAATACTGGTAAATACCTACAGTTTTTGTAATATACCCATTTCATTCATTAAACCTTATTTAGTTTAACTGAAAGATAAGAAATAGTTAAAATTAAAACTGTTACGAAGAATTATTTTAAAGCCATTATCTAATACATAATAATAATTTAATTTATAAAAAATGTATGCCAATTTAAAGAGATAAATATGCGTTGTCCTATTTTATATAAGATAGAAACAGTTGTTATTTTGCACATTTTAAAAACAAATTTATTGCAAACATTGCTTTTTAATTTAAACAAAATATAATTTAGTATTTTATTTTATATCTACTTACATTTATTTATATGTATTTAACTAACTTAGAAATTATAACGTATTTTTTTATAATGCCTACACAAACAAAAAATGGAGTCAATTTACAAAAACTGCTGTGATTTATTGGATACATGGATTAAAAACCTTAAAACTACGAAGTTTTATTAAAAACATTACCACCTTGTATGTAAACTTCTATTCCCAAGATCTACAGAAGAATAAACTTGTATTTAAATAGGTAAACCGATTTAAATTTAAAATTGTTTATCCCTTTCAACGACTTTTTACAATAATACCTTAAAATTATCTAAAAACTAGTTCTTACCTTGAATTAATACACTTTTGGTAAAATAAAACGAATAAAATATTAGGATTTGACGTTAAAACAATAAATATCCATCAATAGTTGTCAGAAAATTTAAAATTTTATCACTGCCTAACAACCATCACGTTTCTGTCAGAACATTTTGCTGTTGTAACGTAAACATGGCATTTAAACTCTTTGGATACCTTTGGATTGGTCGCCGGTTTAACGGTTGAAATCAACCGCCATATTTAAATTCTTTGTAGGTATGCGTTATTTTGTGAAATACAGCTACATTATTATTAAATAAAAGAACATAGTTAATTTAATGGTAATAACGATTTATTATTAACATTTTATCTGCTTTATTTTTTATTATTATTTAAATATAATACAAAAATGAAACATTTATTAACATTCCATAATAATCTAACATTGCTGCATGACTTAAAATTATTAATAATTTTATTATTAATTAATTAGTTGGTGTTTTGCACGTTTTATATCATAAAACACTGATGTGTACAACAATTATAGTTCAGGCAACATTTTTCTATAAAATTATGAAAATATTTTCATTAAAAGCAAGTCGTCAAAATAATTTTATAGGTTTATTTAGATTATTAACTTAAACCATTGTTTTTCAAAAACAATTTAAATCTGGGCGTTGGGTTTTTATTATTTAATTTGATGTTGGGGATAAAAATCAAGTTAACGTAACCTGGGTTGCCTATATTTACAGTGTAAATTTAATAAAAGTGTAGTATGTTTAGTTGGTTGTTATTATTTTTTGACTTGCTTTTCAGGAAAATAACACCTAGAAAAGTTAAAATAGTAATACCTGATAAAGTGATATATGCCTAAAGATTTCAAAAGTCATATTATTAGTTTTTTACATCGACCGTTAAAATTGTAGGTAGGTATTTAAAAAAAAATAAACATTTTACAAACATAATATTAAAAATATAACCTAGGTAGGTACTTAGTATCTAATAAACATATTGTAAACATAAACAACTATATAAAAGAAACGAAAGCAGTTTCGAAGCTGTTGAAAGTTCAAAAATTCGTTGAAACTAAGGTAGGTATCTAGGTACCTACATTAAAGTTTGTCAGAAAAAAAATAGTGGAATAATACCAAACAATATTAAAGGGACACGAAATAAACTAGCAGGTACTTTATTTATTTATTAAATTGACAAGCTTATATTGCTTTTTAATTTTAATATTAAATCCTTTTTTTAGCATATTTCATGTTAAAATAAAAATAATTTAATTATGATAAATCTTGTGTAAAGGTGCAAATGTTAACATACCATTAATGGAATTAATAATTTCATTACATTATGTATTATTAAATTAAACATCCTAAATGTACATGGTGTTCAAAAAGTATGGTCACAGGCTGTTAAATTTTTGATAGGCTTTACTGTGACTCACAGAACAGCCTTACACAAATTAAACAGATAAATTTTTATTTCGTAAATATTTAACTTGTTTTAAATAACAAAATATAAAAAAATGGTACTTGCTCGTTAAAAAAATGTTTAGTTTGCAACAGGGTTGTTAGGTATGATTTAAATCACCCTATTTAAATCAATTGATTTTTTTTATTTAAATTTAAGAAAAAAACGTTAAACTAATTTTTTGATTTTTTAAGGAAAGTCTCAACATGTGTATTAAGAGGTTTTACAATATGTATTATTAAATTAAACATCCTAAATGTACATGGTGTTCAAAAAGTATGGTCACAGGCTGTTAAATTTTTGATAGGCTTTACTGTGACTCACAGAACAGCCTTACACAAATTAAACAGATAAATTTTTATTTCGTAAATATTTAACTTGTTTTAAATAACAAAATATAAAAAAATGGTACTTGCTCGTTAAAAAAATGTTTAGTTTGCAACAGGGTTGTTAGGTATGATTTAAATCACCCTATTTAAATCAATTGATTTTTTTTATTTAAATTTAAGAAAAAAACGTTAAACTAATTTTTTGATTTTTTAAGGAAAGTCTCAACATGTGTATTAAGAGGTTTTACAATATGTTGAAAGTAAAACAAGATTTATTAATTTGTTATGAAGATCCCTTAATAGAAGCAATACCAAGTTGTTTTACAATTGTTGTTTTAATATTAATGTAGATAACTTATAAGGTATACCTACCACTGAACTTTTGTAAGAGAGATAATGCTGGCTATTATTTACGAGGATGAGGTTACGAGAGACTCAAATCATTCGAGTAAATAATGCGCATAATCTCTAGTGTAATACTATAGTTTATTTGCTCCAATAAACAAATAATTAAAAGATTTTCAAAATTAAATAAATAAAATGTGACATCTGTTAAATGGTTAACCTCACTTTTTACTAATTTAAAGGTTATTATAGTCGCCTTCTCCCAATTTAAAATCAGATTGGTTCAAATCACAGTAAATATTGAAATCGGCCAATCACTGCAGTGATTCCTAACAACGTGAATAATAAGTTTATTATTCCCGTTGTTAGGCAGGGAATTTATAATATTTATCAATATTCACAAAAAAAAACCATTATGCCCTAGGGGTAAATAAAATGTTTTATGCCTAGCACATAGTAAAAATTAGTAGAATTTACAAAATAATAAAATGTCAGGTAGAAATTGGTGATAAAAATTAATTATATTAGAATCCGTAATGAGACTTGCGGGCTTTCTTGTTTTTATAGAAAAATCCAATAAATTTAAAAAATTGTTATGTTTTAATTTTTATAAAAAAAAACAACCCTGGTTTGCAACACCCTTTAAATTTGGCCTCCAAGTTTTAGTTTGAAGGTTAAGGTAACATTGCTTAAATTCTTTGCCAAAAAAGTTACAAAATTGCAAAGATGTTTTAAACATTTTAATACATTTGTATGGCCAAATTCGTTAATTTAAATTATCAGAAAGAATTTTTTTTAAAACTTTTTAATAAAAAATATTGAATCTTACAGTTGCCCCTTACTTTCTGTTCACCTTGTATACATAGGTTTCACACATAATATGATTAATACTTGGGTAATACCGTATTACTAATACGAAAAAGGTACCGAAGGTTTAAAAACTGTTAATGGGTATATCTGAATGATGATGAGCCAAACAGCGAGATTTGCTTAGCACCGGTAGCAATTATTCAATCGGTGATATTAAGAACAAACATTTTATTTTGACAAGACATTTTCTAAAATCAAACTTTTAGTTTAAAATACATCCCTATTGGGAGAATTTATTAATCATTTTTCATAATATACTTCAAAGAAATTGTTGTTTTGAAGTAATAAGAAATTTAATACTTAGAAGGATTTTTTAAGAGAGCCAGATGTCACTTGGGGGGGCTTAGGAGCATGTTTTAGAAGTAATAAATAAATCGATAGAAAGTTTCTTTGTCCAAAAAGTTACCAGCGGAAACGCGCACTGAAAAGCAACCAGATGATGTTTTTCTTGGAAAGCCGTAACGGTCATTTGAAAACGCTCCCCTTTGTTTAAATCGTCGCTGGATCAAAGGTCAGATTAGTGGTAACATCCTTGTAACGGACTGATAGTAGTCAATATAAGCCCCGCTCCCCGCGTTAAGTAACCCAAAAACCCACCCGTTACAGTATTGTATTTTATAAAATAGTTGAAATATTCTCACAAAAATGCATTTTGAACTATAAAACTAATTTTATAAAATAATTTGTCAAAAATTTAACTTGTATTGTTCTTAATCTCACCGATTCAATTATTATCGCGATAACAGCGATTTTAAAGCGCTAACGCGATCGTAATTTTTAAGCACAAACGTGATAGCAACATAATATTTACTTTATAATACACAGAGTGCACCAAGTATAACTCTCTATGTATGGGTATATTTTTTATTTAAGAGCAACAAAGTTGGAAATTCGGAAAATTCTTCTGTTCAGGTTTTAAAGATGAAGTATTTAATTTTGGTATGCATTTTTATATTTTTTATTTTTTATATTTGAAGTTACCTATAATTTTATATTTTAAAAGATTAAAAAAAATATTAATATCAATAATTTTAAAAAGCAAGCAAAATTAGACTTTTATGGTTTGTACTTTTTAAAAAACAATTAGCTTGTAAAACTAGGATAATATAAACTGGACCACCCTGTACAAGCCTTATAAATCAGTCTAAATACAGGGTGTCACCTAATAAATTGTCATCCTTTGGGGGAATGATAGTACACGCCAAAAAAATAAAGTTTTTCCTTCCAATCCTTCCATTTTTGCGTTAATTAGAGCTAGGTACTGTTTTTTTAATAAAAATTTTTTTTGGCAAAACAGGATCTCACTGACCTATTCTATATAAGTTTACCTCTAAAAACAATGATATTATTTATCCAAGCAAAAAAGAAACAGGTATGCGCACTGTTTATTGTGTAATATAAAAAAAATTAAATGTATTCAAAATCGGTTAGTAGGTACTTTGTTATCATTGATTACTGACAGTTCGGTTGTTATTGTGGTTTCTCTGGGGCTACATGAACAGTTTAGTGTACCAGAACGAAGTTGATACATAAGAACAACTCCGCGAACTTGTCACTGCAGCGGCAGATGAAATCCGAAATCATCCGGATATGATAGCAAGAGCGACACATCATAATTAACTTTATGTGGATAATAACGGCGAGATAGTTTAACATTTATTATCATTTTGTCGAACAATTAAAAAATAGCTACCTGAGCATTAATCGACGTAAAAAGTGAAAGGTGAAATTTAAAATCGACGGGAAAACCAAGGAAACCTCGAGATACCTAACAATAAAAGTAAGCATTGTTTTAAGTACCTAAACATAGATGAGTATGCAAAACAAAAAACAATTATCAACAAAGTAATCAATGATCACACAAATGTAAATTTTTAATGAATGTAGATTATTACCCACTGTGCAAGCATATTTTGCGTCAGTTGTCATAGGTCAGGAACAACCAGTGGCGTCCCAAAATGGCACGAATACAAAAATGATAAAGGAAAAACTTATTTTGACGTGTACTATCATCACCTTAAAGGGTGACAACTTATTTGGTGACACCCTGTATAATACAAGTCTTTTGTTAGGGTAGTATTATGTGTGTGGAAATTTACATCAAAAAGACCGCATATTTATTATAAGGATGATAAGTTTTGGGAATACTTACAAGGACCGAAATAAAATGATATTCAACCAAACGCTTGACAAAAATCTTAAGATGTAGCTGATAATTGGAATATATTACTAAATCACTTTATTTGACCCATTTTTCAGAGACACTTATCAGAGGGTCAGATATACCCAAAAACAGATCTTTGCCCCGCGAGATCAAGTGGTAATAGACAAAAGTGGATTAAGACTTTTTGCGGCTGCCTGTATGTTGTAAAGTACACCCTGGGAAGAATTTTAGAAACGGGTTTTATTCGTCGAGGTTTTCTGTGGTTGTGTGTGTAAAAACATTAAACCAAACAAAAAAAGTATATACTTAATTAGGTATATTTAAATGCTATATTTACCATGTAGGCACTCCAGACATAGAAGACACAATTCTACTACAATAGATAAAAGTAGTAAAAATTTATCATAATTCTAGTTCGAAAAAGTAAGAAAGAGTTTTTAAAAATTTCGTAGAGGGTATAAATATGTAAGAACTTTCAACTATAAGATTGTCCAATTGCCATTTTTTTAACACAGCTAGGTATACTAAAAATCTAAGCAAATGTAGTACCCTAATAGATGTTCTACCTTTTAAAAAATTAATTTCATAATTTTGGATTGTTTTTGCTTGTAAATAATATCTCCCTTAAAAAGCTGAACATCTTGCAGAATGGGGTGGTGGCTACATTTAACCATCTTAAATCAACAATAACTGTAAGCGGGGTTGATTGAATTCAAATAAAAAAATGTAACCACATTTTATCCCCAGAAATTTAAAATACTTTTCACAACCATTTTATTGATTTATTATCTAAAAAATTTTAATACAAAGCTCCATTTATACAGTTAAAATTTGATTACTGAAATTTCAAACGTACTTTTTACAGATAATTGACTTTCGTTCTAATTAAATTAACTTATTATAAAATTTACAACAATTAACTATAATAACTAATTAATTAACAAACATTTAATGTCATCCAGTACTATCGCAACTGATTATCCTCTATTAAAATGTAATATTTTAATTTTTTGTATATACATACATATGCCATTTATTACATAAGGCTGCATGCAGAAACGATTGTTTAGAGTTTAAAAAGGTAAAAAGGGCCATAACCGTTCGAGATCAATCGAAAAATCCTTAGGAAAGCAGTGCTTTTATGTAAACTCCCTTGTGTTTTGTTTATGTTTACACACATTTGAGCGATTTTAAATATTTCAAAGTTTTAATTTATAATTTTTTTTCATTAAAGCCCAGTCAAACGGTACGAAAATACACACAAGGTTTGTATTAAATAAAACCGTTTTGATACTTTGACGTTAAGTTTCTTCACTTTGATAAACTCGCAAGTGTTGTCGCCATCTTGATATTTAGAGCCTCTAAATTAGAGGTGAGTCTGATTAACTCTGTACATGCCACGTCAAAAATAACCATTACCGAAATTGTTAACAATTATTATAAATAAAAAGATATAGGTAAACTTGTAGCTCTAGGGAAATCAAATCGTTTCTGTATGGGGCCATTAGTAAATTGGGAAATTATAAATTTCACATTTTAAGGTAAATATAAATTATTTTAATTCTCAGAATACCCTGATACACTGATTGCATAGCATAATATATTTATATTGCTTAAATATAGGAAACTTTTTAAACATAAATTTAAGGCGATTGATTTTATTTTTATTTTTTGTTAATGTTGGAGAATGCTTAAATTTAATAATTATATAGTAGCAGAATAATACAATACCCTGTATAACGTTAAGGCTTTTGCAGTGCTTAAATAATTTTGCAACCGAATAGGTATTTTAAAGTAAAAAGTTCAGTCTTTTAAAAAATTTTGGGACTATTTTAATAAAGGATAACCATTGAACTATTTAAAGGTCTCAAGTATAGGTAGTACTAGATAACTTTATTTACTAATAATTATCTTTTGATAGACTTCAGTCCATGGCATTTTCTTCTAAGTTTTATAAAATACGAATATATCTTTTAACAGAATAAATTAAAAATATTTAAAATCTAATTCGTTTCTATTATTCAATATCTACACTGTCGTAACTCACTAATAATTTAATAATAATTATGATATCAATATGATGATTGCACAGTGCAACACAAATATTCGAACGAAGATCTGACAACATGGCACGAAAGTACTATTATATTACTTATTTAAAAATCTCGTACGCTGTTTATCAAATTGTATCAAAACTTTTTTTAAGCCTCAAGTCTGGTCTACAAATGTCGCAGAATGTATATTTTACTGCTTACGTCTTACGTCAATGAATCAAGCACTGTGATTGGTTAACGTAAGACGTAAGCGGTAAAAGATTATGCGACAATTGTAGACCGGGCTTTATTTCTTCGTCAATAAAACGCATTTTTTTAATCCTTAATAAAACTAAGCTACAAAAGTCTAAAAAAGTTACCTGCGTAGGTTTTCTCTTTTTGTAAAGTCCGGTCTACAACTGTAGCAGAATTTATTTTTTACGGTTTAGGTACGTCTTATGTCATCAAATTACAGTGTTTGATGGACATATAAAGCTGAGTAATGAAAATAAATGTGGGTCCAATGGCCCAAAATAAAATGTTGATCCAATTTGATCCACCGCGTATGTTTTTTTATGATATAATAGCTAGTTCTAGTACTTTCATTTCGTGTTGTCATATCTGTACTGGGAATCATTGTTGCACAGCATTATTGATTGCTTGTTTGCCTGCCAAACAGCGGCTTTTCTCACTATCTGTTCGTTTTCACTTCACAGCCACAGCCAGTGAAACCGAGGGGGTAGGGGGGAGTTTGCCATTAACAAAACTCAAAGAACCTTTTTATTCTGATTTATTGCTAATAAATAACTTTAACTTTGTTGATTAACCCTTAGAAATATAATGAAATCGATCTTTTGAGTTCGCTCGTGGCCGAGGGTGGGAGGTATTGGGGCTGTTCGCGAACAGTCTTTTAAAGGCTATAACGTGGTGATAGTGTCGTATATAACTAAGAAGCGTTTTTCATGTGTTTTCCATTTCCAATTTGGCTCGTTTCTCCTTCTCCTTTTCTTCTGTGTCCAGGTTAAGGCACTCTTCGAAAAAAGATTGCATGGAACGGTAGACATGCTCTATTACTCCTGTCAGCTCGTGGCCCTCATCAGCATAACTCTGAAAAAATTTGTTTTGATTAATTTTTGGTTTAAAATGACTGATTACAAAAATATATTAAGAGTTAAAAGGATAATGGCTTACTTGGTATCTAAAGAGGACACCGGCTTCGGAGAGGGCTCTAGCTAGGGAGATACCATGCTGGTAGGGCACCACCAGATCGGCTAAGCCGTGTATAAGGTAGAAAGACAATTTTGGAATGTTCTTTGCTCTTTGGCTCGCGTCTGCTTCCACGTAGCTTTTATAATTTTCTGTTGGAAGTCCAAGGATTTTCTCCGTAAAAGCTGAATCTAAAAAAACACATTTGTATGCCCTATTTGACATTTTTTACATTAAAATATCTAAGGGGCTTGAAACTCTCAAATTTTGTCATAAAGGCGTAAGTTAATGAAAAACTAAAAAGGCGTGCTAAAACCCATCTAGATATTCCTTTGGTTGTAAACAAAGCTGGGTTGTATTCGAATACTTATATTTATATTCAAACTCAGCTCTGATTGCAAATTATGCTTGCCTCTTATCGCAGACAGCACGGTATTTTCTAAGAATATTCTTTAAATCTACTTAATATATTAAAAATATTCCTGATATTCATGTAATATTCAGAGAATATTCGTGTCTAAGTTAAATTCATGGATGATTCATTTCAGTATATCCCAGGTACATGAATAATGTATCTGCTTATGTTATTCAATTTGGTTTATGTTTTTTGGTATATTCCTACAATGTTCTAATATTGTTCCATTTTTTATTTAGTCTAATTAGAATAACTGAATCGGTGAGATTAAGAACAGTCCAAATTTTTTTAATTGTTTATGATTTTTCTTAAATTGATAATTTACAACAAAAAATTGATAAATAAAAAAAATTGACTTGTTCCACGGTGTATAAGCCCGTGGCTTGTACTGTTCTTAATTTTACCGATTCAATTAAATTTAAAAAATAATGGTATATACTAGGTACCGAAAACGCAACGTCTCCTTCTTCATCTGCCATTGTTTGTGGGTGTTTCGACAGTAAAAGTTTGTTTAGATAATTTAGAGTTTATTAGATACTTGCTTCCTGTCTGTTAAAACTTGTAACGTGTCAAAAAGACTCTTAGTTTATTTTACGAATTTGTTACTGTTTTGCTAATAAAACTAAAACTTACTTATCGGCACTTTATTATTTAGTTTAATTTCCATACTTTACTTGCTGTACTACTTTTATTTTCTCTATTTTGGTTTATTTTCTTAACTTATAATATATTTTAAGTGGTATCGTACAGTATAATTTTTCTGTCCTATTTTTGGTTTTGCCGGTAATGCCTGGTTAGTTTTATGACCTTTTCTGTCCTTACTAAAAATTTTATTACATTTATTATCATTGTCTAGTTCTACTACTTAATTTACCTTGTTTGTCTTCTGTTTTCTACCGTTGTTTTAAGTTACATTTTGCAGGGACCTTGGTTTTAACATGACTCTTTTCGTTTCCTAAGAGATTGGGTTTGGTTTTAGGAATACCTTCGTTGAGTTATTATTTGTATTTGCCTTGGTTGTCTATATTTTATAATCGTGTTTTGATATAGCCATTTTCTGTTTACATTACATCTGTCAAGTAGCAGTGTTGCCAACGTTATTTTAATCGCACACCTAGATTTTATCTGTGGGTTGCAGACTGTAAATTCAGTGTTCCCAACGTTAAAGTTATGTAACGTTCCTGCTGAGGTGACGCTTGGTTTCCTTGACATTTGGCGTTAGGCTTGTGAGCGTGTGCAACAGGTGCTTTGAAGATTTGGTTTTATTTCCACCATCCGTTCTTATTTGCGGGATTTGTCTTCAGAGAAACCTATATTGGATCCATTTAGACCGTTATCGTTTTGGATTTTGTATCTTTGGTCTATGGATTTAGCGGATTCGTCCGGATTTAAAAAGCACATGCTCTAGGTAAGCGTCATTTGTCTATTTAACGGCTGTTTTTCTATCTAAGCCTATTTTAGTGATCAAGCCAGCGTCATTTCACACTACACCGCACATAACACCGTTGAGTAAAATTCCACTGCTATAACTTGTCATCGTTGTACCATAATTTATTCAACCAGGCGTAAGTACGAATAATTTCTTTGGTAGACCTATTCCATACCTTTATTTCTCTTTTAGGGTTTTGGTTTTAGTTCTGTTTTTGTTTTGGTTTTGTTTTTGGGTTTTCATAACCCTATTCGTGTAACTTTTACACAACTTGGACACGACGGATTATCTCCCAGATATCCACCCTTATTGTGACCCTTGTTCCGGGGCATACACTACCGCGAAGGTACCCGGACAAGCCTAGTTTTTCTCCTGGATTCGACGACTGTGAGTTGGCCGAGGTAGGACTGAGATCGACGTCTGCCATCTCACCCATCACCCGATTAAGACACTTTCCCCGGATTTGACGACTACCCGATTGTGACAACGCCTGGCAGCAGGATAAGTTTATCTCTATTTTATTCTTTACTTTATTGTGTGGTATTTATACCGGAGTATACGTTATTTTGTTATATGATTATTTTTGTGAGGTTTGTTGTTCTGTGTTAAGACTGACCAGCTTTTGCCCGTATAACCAGCTGCTGGTTGGTTTTGATCCAGACCAACGGCCAATTTATTTTTGATTTTCTTTATTTTTGTTGGTCAGTATTGTTCGTTGTGTTGCGAACTGATTTGGTTAAGCTTGACCGTATAACCAGGTTTACCCAGATCAGGTTGCAACCCTCGGGTTGCTAACCTTGTTACACTACAAGCTTAACTTGTAGTGTCACCTCATTTTTGTTTTGCCCTGGTTGCCTTAAGCACCAGTTTTACTTACTTACTGTTTTGCCCTGGTAGCCTTCAGCTACAGAGTGGTATTTTACTTGCAGAATATATAGATTGTTTTTGTAGTTCGTAACTACCAAAAGGGTTGTAAACCCAAGTGATCACTTCGGTATTATTTTTGGTATTTATCCTAAACACAAGTATAATCACTTATTGCGTTATTTTAAATTATATATCAGTAATAAACCTTTAGTTATATCTATTTCGTGATTTTCTCTTTCTACGTTTTAAGGGCCACTTAAATCACGTGGCGCCTACGAACATCCCTTTATAACCCACACCCCTGAGCAACTATAGAGTCGGGCAGAGCCCTTAAAACTAGATATTATTTTAGATAGCGCCCACTGAAAAGTGAACCGTGACAAATTGGCACCCAACTACAAGGGCCTTCTTTTTTTTTAATTAAGAAGATTTTTTTATATATATCGAATTTTTTTATTAAGCATTACCTTATATATTTTATTATTATTATTAACTGTATTGTTTTAAATACTTAGTATCTAAACTTATCTTGACTGCCATACCTGATTTTGACTATATTACCTTATCTTAAGTATATTGCCTTAGGGTATTACCTTATTTTATCTTTATTATCGTATCTTAAGGTGTTACCTTATCTTAAGATATTACCTTATCTTATTTGTATTACCTTATCTTAAGATATAACCTTATCTTAAGATATTACCTTCATTTTTTTTTATAAATTTTTGTCTCGCAAGTAATTGCGCTTTACTTTTTGTTGAATATTGTACTAGGGTTTAGTGTTGAGCACTACAATCGTAGTTTTTTTTTTATTATTTCATTTCGGGTCGTTTCGTTGTAGTAGTTGGCTTTATCTTCCACCTTCATCATGTCTATTCCCAAAAGTGACATCAATCGACTTAATGTCACTGAACTTACGCATGAATTGGCTATCAGAGGTTTAAAGGATGTCGGAAATGTTGTTCAAATGCGAAAAACCTTACGTACTTTGTTAAAGGTTGAGAAATCTGATAATCCCCTTACCTACCCTACCTATCCTTTTTCCTTTGATGACGATAAGGCAGCCTTAGAAGCCAAACATGAGGAAATTACCACACTGTTAGGAGAATTTGAAGGTATTGCTGGAACTCTTCATGATAAAATTTTGGCTAAACTCAACTTTGCTCTACGACATGCCAATAGTTCCATTCCAACTACGCAACCTGAGAAGGACGAAAAGTTCAAGTATATAGTGAAGTTTCTAGGATTAAAATCTGACTTTGATTCAAAGGTAAAGCGACACAACCGCCGACTGCTTAATGATTCTTTGGGGGCACCAGATTTGGACTTAGTAGATGGGAGTGATAGCTCTGAAGATGAAGCTAGTGAAGAAGAAGCTGTTTCCGTTCAACACCAGTCATTTGTTGCCCCTTCATCGAAAACAGTTCCTATTTCCAAATGGAATATAAAATTTTCTGGAGTCAACCGGAATTTCTCTAAGCGCTTTCTTAATAAGGATTGAAGAACTGAAACACGCTAGAGGAGCAACAAATGAAGATCTCTATCAGTCTGCTATCGACCTGTTTGAGGGAAAAGCTCTAATCTATTACCGTGCGATGAAGAAGCAAGCAACTAACTGGACATCTTTGGTTACCATGCTACGTAAGGAATTTCAGCCTCCTGATTTTAATGATAGACTCTTTGAAGAAATTAAAGTTCGTACGCAGGGACCACAAGAATCGATGGGTATGTTTGTTGCCAGCTTGGAGAATATGTTTGACCGGCTCACTATTTCCGTTCCTCCTTCTACTCGTCTGAAGATTATGTTGAAGAATATAAGCCCTTTCTATCAAACGCAATTGGGTCTTCATAAAATTGCAACTAAGGAAGAATTGATGGATCTTGGAAAATTAGTAGAAGCAAGGAAGATTGCCGTGGATAACTTTCAACCCCCTCCTCGTCGATCGAGTGGTAGATTACTTGAGCCTGATTTAGCTTATGCGTCAACTTACGAAGAAGTCCATGAGGTTACTTCCAGAAATCCTATTAGGGATTCTAATAGAAATCCTATGACCTGTTGGAACTGTCGAAAGGAGGGTCATTCTTTTCAATCTTGTCCAACCACCAGACAAAAATTCTGCTTCCGTTGTGGTAAACCGAACGTTACCGTTCGGAACTGTTCCAAATGTTCACCGTCGGAAAACTGCCATCAGAGATTTTGAAAGGTCGTGACATTATCTCTCCTTTTCAAGCGACCAACCCGACTTTCGATTCCAACTTACCAGTTCTCAACTTCATTTTGGCACATGCAAAGGCTGATGAGCGTCCATATTTAAAAGTTCAGATTTTGGGTAATCCATTCTTGGGTCTCTTAGATTCTGGAGCTTCCAGAACTATTCTTGGTCTTCCTGGTTGGACTGTTTTACAACATGCTGGATTGAAATTACTTCCTACTTCCATCTCCTGTACTGTGGCTAACGGTAACTCTTGCAATTGTATTG